ATAGATAGATAGATAGATAGATAGATAGATAGATGATAGATAGATAGATAGATAGATAGATAGATAGATAGATAGATAGATAGATAGATAGAGATAGATAGATGATAGATAGATATAGATAGGTAGATATTAAGTAAGAGATTTTATCCTTGGGATAACACAGTCTTTTGGAAGTTAAGAACAACTCTCTTTTTCTTGTTTTGTTTTGCTTTTAGAAGGCAAACTCTTAGAAGGCAGGAGCTATGTCTCTTTACGGTGGTGAGAAAGCAGTCTCACAATAATATTTGTCCGGTTGATGAGTATGAATGGACTGAGTATGACCTCTGCTTCAGTTAGCAGCAGGGCAGGTCATGCCCCACCAGAACAGCTCAGCTCTAGCTCCCTCCCACCACAGGAGAGGGCACTGCCCAGGTTACACATCACACTGTGGTGAGGAGTTTCACATATGGCTGCAAACTAATACCAGGCTGCTGCTTTATCTCATCAGGATTGAATGTCTAAAGACTTCCTCAGGAGTTTGGGTTTCAATTATCAGTGAGAACATACTTTTCAAAAATAAACCGTGAACTATTTCAAGGTTTGGTTTTGTCAAACACTATTCCACAGATTTCTAGCATTACAGAAAGTCAGGCATTATGCTTCCTGATGGAGGAATACCCCACTACCTAAGAAATAGTGCTGCCAAAAAATTAAACCTGAATCTGATCAGCTTCTAGATTACGCATGTACAGGAATAAAAAAGGACAGGGCAATATGTTAGACAACACCATGTGTGTGCAATAAGCAAAATCCAGACACCAAGTCTCTCTAAGAAACTCTCCAAGACAACCCAATTTCTTCGAAAAACAAATTGCAAATAAAAATAAATTGAAAAGGGTAACCTCAGGATTAAAATGTGAAACAAAGGTGGAGTCACAAAAACAAGCTAAAAATGATAACATTTATGAGATAATTAGATCACTGACTAGTTATTTGATGACATTAAGAAAGCATTGCTAATTATGTTTTAACTATAATCACTGTATTTGGGGTTATATTTTTATTTCATTTTTATTTATATATTTACTTATTTTTTTAAAATTTGTCTTTATTGTTGAAAGTACTACAGATGTTCTCTTTTTTTCCCCTTGACCCCTTTTACCCCTGCACCTGCACCCGCCCAAGCCTTCACCACACTATTGCCTGTGTCCATGAGTTAAGTATAATATGCATATAAGTTCTTTGGTTAATCTCTTCCCACCAACCCACTCCCACCTTCCTTCTGAGATTCATCAGTCTGTTTGGAGTTATGTTTTTAAAAAGGTCTTCATCTTTTAACAATACACTCTGAAATATTTACAGGTGCAATAATATGTCTGGAAATATATGAGAGAAACAAGGTTAGTCATGGGAATAATTATTGAAGCTGAGAATACGGAGGTTCATGATTATGTTGTTTACTTTTATATGTTTTTCAATTTCCATAATAAAACGTTTTTTAAACTTCCGCATAACTAATGTGTGTCAGTGTACATTCTGTTACTCACACATGATCAATCCCACCTCCCTGAAGCATGTCATCACCACCACCCTGGATAATACTCTAAAAAGTCTCTAAGCCTCATGTAGAAACAGTAAACCACTAATATAAGACCAACAAAAAACACCCAGGCATTTGATCGTCAGAAAGTCACCTTCCCAATCCACCTCCCACAGACTGAGGCACGGTCAGTCCCACTCTGTGGCCGATGTCCCAGCCCAAACTGCTGCTAAATACAGAACTGTAGTTAGGAGAAACTAATGAACCGCTGAATGGCACAGGAAAATCAATAGGCGGAAGAAGGCAAGTGACCTTCTCGTGCCCATCCAACTCCTGTTCTTTCTTCTTGAAGGGGGAAAAGAGAATGAACATCAATATACAGATGCCAAAATGAACAAAAAGATTATCACCACAAAAATCTGTAGTCTTTTTCATCTTGTCCCTGAAAAAAAAACTTCCCAGTGACACGGAAGCTGAGTCTGCCCAAAGCTAAACAGAGAGTCACATAAGGAAGAGAGAAATCCGTACACATTAACTAGCTGGGTGCACGCACCCAGCCTCTAGGTAGCCAGTGAAAGGTCTAGAAGGAAAATGAAGAATAATCCAAGTTGAGCCTTGACTTCAGCAATAAAAGGAATCCATGGAACAGATTTCACATGTGGCCATTAAAACTGGTGTGTTTAGTGAAAAAGACTAATAGACCTTTCCTGGGAAAGTTACTGAATGTCAAGGCAGAGAGAGAATTTGTCAGGAACATAGAACACAAACACACACCCCAAAATAAAATATAAAGCAAACAAAATACTCAAGCTTCTCTCCACAGCAATACTCAATAGTCAACACAAGAAAATATGTAATCTATGTGTACAAAGTTCTGGGGGAGAAAAAGTGTGAACAAAAACTCCTCTACAGCCAATCCTTTTAAAATATTAACATTTTTCCATAAACAAACTAGGAAAAAATATTTATATCAAGAGCTAATTTTTTTATTTTATCAAGCACATATACAATAAGTTAAGGGGAAAAAACAACCGAATAGAAAATAAATTCAAATGTAATAGAAAAGATGCTAAATCTTACTCATAAATTTTAAAATTACTCATAAATTTTAAAGTGCAAATCAAAATGTTGACATGCCATTTATCTCCTATCAGACTGACAAGATTTTTAAGTTTGATAATATTCAGTATTGTGAAGGATCTGGAGATGTAAGCACTTAAGACACTATAAGAGTGTAAACTGGCACAGCATTTTTGAAGACAATAGTCAAAAATCTCTCAAATACCACAATTCTACTGGTAGGTATTTATTCTATTATATAACCAAAAAAAGGACACTTAGATTCACCATATGAACAGACTGAAAAAGAAAATCCATTTAATCATCTTGATAGATGCAGAAAAAGCACTTGACAAAATTCAACATCCATTCAGGGTTAAAAAAAAAAAAAAATGCTCAGCAAACTAGGAATAGAATGGTACTTCTTCAACCCAAGAAAAAAACCTCAAGTTAACATCATACTTAATTGTGAAAAATTAATGCTTTCACCCTAAGACCAGGAACAAGGCAAGAAAGTCTGCTCTCACCACTTCTATTCAACATTGTGGTGGAGCCAGTGTAATAAGGCAAGAAAAAGAATTTAAAAGCACCCAGATTGGAAATTGAAGAGAAGTAAGTAAAATGGACTTTATCTGAAGATAATATGGTTATCTATATAAAAAATATAATGGAATTTATTAAAGAAAGCTAGTAGAATTTATTAAAGAAAGCTAAAAATGATAACATTTATGAGATAACATTTATCAAAATTATAGGATACAAGGTCAATATTTTTACGTCAATCATATTTCTATATACTAGAAAGGAAAGTCTTCCCAATAAATAGTGCTGAAACAAGTGTATAGCCACATATAGAAGAAAAAAAAAAGAATGTCCACCATCTCCAAAATTTAAAAAAGTTAAAATCCTTTCTTTAAAAATTAGTGAGAATTTTAAAAAGGAATCTCTACCCTTACTTCATTCTACACATAAAAATTAGCTTGAAATTGATCATACAACAAATTTACGAGTTAAACTTCTAGTAGATATACAAGCACGTTCATTGCAGCATTGTTTCTAACAGAAAATTACATATAACCTAAAAGTTCATCATTACAGACAAATTATCTAATAAATCATAATAATTACATAAAATGAAATACCATCTAGCCATATGTAGCCACTTAAATAAAAGAAAGTAAGTCTTGTGACAACCAATATGGAAAGAATGACATAATATACAATTATAGTTTTTTAAAAGTATTGAACAGTGTGTAAAGATTAAGTTTTGTAAAAGTAAAAAGAAATTTTGCACTTATAGCCATTTTATGTATGTTTATGTATGTGTATTTCTCCATATATATGTTTATCTTACTAAATATTTTCCAGAAGGCTACAAAAAAAAAATCTTAAACTTTAGGGAAAGGTACCAGGAATCAGAGAGGTTGGAAAATGGAGAAATTAATATAATTTTAAAAATTTATACCTTTCTATACTAGTCATTTATTTGCTGGTGCATGTATTATATTATTTTAAAAGATAAATAATTTTTAAAAGTAAATGAAAGAGCTCTACAGAGGAGGTTTTTCTGGCCCAGAGGCATGCTGAAGTCATGGGAAAGCAAAAAGCAGAAGCACAGTAGAAGCCCATCTTGAGAAGAAGAGGAAAGCAGAGAAGAAAGACCAAAAGGACCACGCTTGAGAGAGGACTGGTGAGTGGGTTCACTCTGAATTCTACATCCAAGCCCTCTGAGGCCTACTCAGCTTTGTTGTCTGTCCTTGGATAGCCATGAAATCTCCTACTGCATTCTTCTAAAAAGCCCCACCTCCCACCCTTCTTACAAGCTGGTTTTAGCTCCTAACAACCCCGAAGAAGCTTGGCCTGTGCCCTTGTTGAGTACCTGGGATTACTCCACAGTGGAAATGCAACTTACCTTGCTGAAAATAAAGCGATCTGAGGCATGTACCTGGTAAACTCCTGCAGTCGGTCAAGCCTAGCAAGTATGATTTAAATAGAAACTTGCCTGGCAACATTTGATACTTATGAGAAAATTCATGAAGATTTCTATTTCTGAGTGAATTATTCAGAATATTTTGTCTGTTATAATATATTCTCTATGAATTACAAATCATAGACGAATGCTTTCAAATCTGGAGAAGAGCTTTTAAAAAGAAATCAGAAACAGTGAAAGTTTAGAGAAAATTTGTAAAAATATTGAATATAAAAAGTACCCAGAGATACACAAAATGAGAAAACACATACCATAAAAGCATGAACAAATTAGAGAATAATTCCAAACTAACATATAAGCAAGTACACAATACAAGGAAAAGGCTGATAAAACACCAGGCCCATTTGTAGCAATTAGCTTCCTCACAAACCAAACCTATCTGCACATGGCTAGATAGAGCCCACTCAAATACAGCTCAACTGTGATCTCTTCTAGGAGGTCTTTCCTAATCTTTCCATTAAAGCTTTCCTTTATGGTCCCACTGTATTGTGTATTCTTTTCTAGCAGATATCACATTACCTGACATTTATTATTCATGCATAGTTATTATTACATCCTGGAAAAATCCACTAGCTAGAAAAGAGAGGAACATCGCCACTAGATACCTTTTTAGTAATCCATAAAACCTCATCTAGCTCTGGCCCANTTATTATTACATCCTGGAAAAATCCACTAGCTAGAAAAGAGAGGAACATCACCACTAGATACCCTTTTAGTAATCCATAAAACCTCATCTAGCTCTGGCCCATGTGGTTCAGTTGGTTGGAGCATCGTCCTGTACACCAAAAGGTTGTGGGTTCGATTCCCAGTCAGGACACATACCCAGGTTTCAGGTTCAATCCCTGGTCAGAGCTCGTGCTAGAGTCAACTGATCATTGTTTATCCCTCACACATCACTGTTTCTCTCTCTTTCTTTCTCTTTCTAAAATCAATTTTAAAAACTCATTTATTATAGGGAATATTTACTGCCTCCATGAGGCAAGAACTATTACTATTTCTATTTTACAGATAAGGAAATTGATGTACTGAAAGGTTAAGTAAATTAAGCTGGGAGCCAGGATTTAAATCTTTTTGTTTACCCTATGCTGCCTCATTGATTCAACAAATGTTTAATAAGCATCTGTTAAGTGTCTGGCATTGTTCTTGGTGCTGAGGGCACAGCAATGATAGAAACAAACCAAAACCATGCTTTCATGGAGCTTATATTCTAGAGGGGAAAAAGAGAATCAATAAAATAAGTATGATGTGTATATGATAGGTAGTGATCAACTGCTCTGGGAAGAATAAGGTAGGAAAGGTGAATATGATGTGGGAGTGGGTGGTAGGCAGGGGAACTGCAGTTTTAAATAGCATGACTAGGGAAGACTCACTGAGCAGGATACGTCTGAGAAATAATGGAAAAAAGAGGAAAAAATAAAAATCTGTGGGGAAACCATTCCAGATAGAGGGTACAAGAAGAAAAAGGCCCTGAGGCAGGAGTTTGCCTGGGTCTTTTCAGGGATTAGCAAGAAGCCAGTGTGGCTGCACAGGGACAAGCAAGGGAGAGAAGCGGTGGGATCACAGAGTACGCAGTGGGGGAGGTGCAGATAAATCACCTGGTCTTTATCAGCCCTTGGAAGGTAAGGACCTGGCTCTTACTTAGGCTGAGCTAGAAAGCCTCTGGTGGGATCTGAGCAGAAGGGACTCGATATGACTTATGTTTTAACAGGTTACTCTTGTGGATGCATGAAGAGTGGACTGAAGGAAATGTCACTTAGAGGCCCCTTAAGAACAGCCCGTTATTAGCAGGGGGAAAAAAGCAATGCCTCCCTCAGTTCTAGCAGGTGTGATCGCAATGGATTATTTTTCAGAGCAAAGTGCTTGGGAAGCCTCTTTCCACTCCAACTATGAGGTCTTGTTGAATGCATCAGTCATAGAAAACCCTCATTTAACTGTCCTGCAACTGAGACCCTTTCTAAAACAGGCTGTCAGGATGCATCCACAGCCGCTGGCTGGGACCTACTGCATCCCACTCATCACTCCTCAGTGTTACTTTCATTTGGGGAGGTGAAGCTGTGCACAGAATTGGCTGTTCAGGCTCAGTACAAGGCCTGCTATGACTAGAACATGTAGAACATGGTCAAATGGTAGAAGGACAGAGTCCAAAGAGTGCTAGGCTTAACCTCAGCCATAAAACGCTTATTAAGCATCTACTCTGAACAGGGCTCTGCTCACCATCTAGTTCTCAGAGGATAGTTCTGGAACTATCCCTTGTATTGTGGATACCAAGGGGGTAGAAGAAGTATGTAGGATGGGGTGGGGTTGGTGAGGATTCACCATCACAACCACCAAGGACAGGTCAGGATTGTGTGAGCTGGAAGATTGCTGCCTGAGGATGGGTGTTGTGCTCTGTGAGGGACCCTGTAGAGTCCTGAGTAGCAGAGAAGAAAGTAAGACAGTAAGAAACCGGTTTGTTTGCTTTTTAACCTCTGGGTCTTACCTTAGACCCACTGTTTGGTGGCAGGTCTGTTGGGGTGAGGGAGCAATGAGTGGCACTACAGGATCCCCTCGAGGACAGAGGCAAGGCAGACAGGAAGCGGCCAGGGTCCTAACCCAAAGGTTTCCTACAAGCGTTAGGGGAGGAACCCACAGCTCTGCTGCTGCCCCTGGGGCAATCGGTGCCAGGCTAATTTTGGAGCATGAAAAACATCCAAGAGATTTCTTCTTGTGGATGGTGGAAAGTGCACTGAACTGGAAACCAGGAGACCTGGTCTGGAGGGGCAGGCTTGTATTTCAGTGACCCTGGAAACTGTCTAAAGTCTCTTCACCTCTTTATGCCTCAATTTCCTAATATAAAAAATAGAGATGGTTGAATTAATCACTGTTTCTCAAAGTTTGCTCCAGGCACCACTCATAGTACCTGTTCAAATGCAGAGCTGCTGACATTGAATCCCCAGGTGAGGCTGGGAACTGGTGTTGACAGAGCTCCGTGGGCAACACCAAGATCTCTAGGTTTTATCTCTAAATTCCCTTCTCTAGCATTCTATGAATTTAAATTTAAACCTATACAAATGTGGGAGGAAAATAATGGGGCCATAATTGAATGTATCTAATATTCAGATTGCTATGTTATCAAAGGACAAATCAGTCACGATGTTGCAGTCACTGAGGAACAATACGCGCCCCCAGCTATGACAAATGATTAACTAAATGGTCAGATTTTTCACTTCCTCATCAAAGCTTGGGGAAATTTATCTTAGCTTGAGCTGCCTTAAACCTCTCTGAGTGAAATACATTAAAAATAGCTGCAAATTACTGATGACTAATGCCCTTCAATTTGGCCTCAAGCTGAGAAATTCTGTGCAGAAATAAAGTGGTTTATAATCCCACAGGTCCGTTCTATTATAAACTGCAGGTGGCAAATCAAGTGGCTATGAACTGCGCTCTGTGTGTGTGTGTGTGTGTGTGTGTGTGTGTGTGTGTGTGTGTGT